TTTTTCACTTCTAGTTTTCGTTATTTCGTTAGTTTTCGTTAACGATAATAACCTTGGTGATTACAGTAGATGAGGCACAAACTGAGCATGTGCAATTCCAACCAGCTTGAGGGTGAATATTTGGTATGACCACCTTCATTCATCATGTTACCATGAACATTTGGAACTTAAGTAAAATAAATAAGTAAATAAGTAAAATAAAATCTGTTTTTATTTTCTTTTGTTTGAACATTTCCATATTTAAAACTATTCTTTGAGTTGATTGTGACTTTTTTCCTCTGCAGGTCAAACTGCTTCCTTCATCGTTCAGCCGTCCCGCGCGGTCTCCCTGCTCAGAGTAGCCAGTCCAAAGCACCAGGCTTCATGATGTCCAAATCCGCTCTCGTAAAGGTGATCCTTCTGGGTGACGGTGGCGTGGGCAAATCGTCACTCATGAACCGATACGTCACCAACAAGTTCGACTCGCACCTCTTCCACACCATAGGCGTGGAGTTCCTGAACAAAGAGCTGGAGGTGGACGGGCGCCGCGTCACCCTGCAGATCTGGGACACGGCGGGTCAGGAGCGTTTCCGCAGCCTCCGCACGCCGTTCTTCCGCGGCTCCGACTGCTGCCTGCTCACCTTCAGCCTGGACGACGGACAGAGTTTCCAAAACCTGGCGAACTGGAAGAAGGAGTTTACTTACTATGCTGACATAAAGGACCCCGACAGCTTCCCCTTTGTGGTGCTGGGAAACAAACTGGATATTCCTGAGCGTCAGGTGTCTGGGGAGGACGCTCGAAAGTGGTGTCGCGAAAACGGCGGACACCCGTACTTTGAGACAAGCGCCAAGGATGCTACGAATGTAGCGTCGGCCTTTGAGGAGGCAGTGCGTCGCATTCAGATGACAGATGACAGAGATGGTCACCTCATCAGCACTGACACCAACACGGTGGACTTGCAGAGGAAGAGTCGGGCTCAGAACAGCTGCTGCTGAGCTCAGCCGTCAGTGTGTGACAGGAAGTGAGCGAGCAGGAGATCATGTGACACTCCTGCAGAAAACACACAGGGAGTGTGTTTTCTGCAGAAAATGGGAACTGGTGGTGGCTCAGCAGCTCCTCCACACCACAGCCTGTGACGTCCTTGGCTGGAGTCTTGATGCAAATCAGCAGTTTTGTGCAGTTATTCATGATTTTTACAGGTTATGATCTCGGTTACATTCAGTCCCTCACAGAAACAAATTGAATCATTAACATTTTTCATTTGGATGTTTCGATTTATAAATTGTGAATAACTCAAATGGGTTTTCAAGCTAAATCATGTCACCTCTAAACCACTAAACACAGGATTTCCACCAGTTGGTGTTTCAGACTCGCTGATGGTTTTCATGTCACTGATGGAGCTGCGTCTGGAAGCCACAGAAAGTCCTTTACGATTGTTTTTGCACACTGAAGCAGATGCTGCGCTCGATATGAAGGAGTAAAACTTAAGCTACAAAATGGCTTTTACAGCAGTTTAATACTAAATATCCTTAAACAGACCTGCGAGTCAGATGCATACCTCTCAGAAAACAACCTAAATTTAAAGCTAGTAATGTTTTTGCCTTAGAAACACACGACACACCTTCTTTTCCATCTATATAAACACATAAATGGATGTAAACTAAATTATATTATTTTCTATTTTGGCAGCATAATAATGCCAATAATGCCTAGCTGGAGTTAATGTTTTGTGTTTATTAGTATTTATTCATCAGCTGTTGTAATGCTTAAATTACTGTAATTATGGTTAAAGGAGTGTTTTTTAAACTGATAATAAAACAGAACCCAAAACTGGAGAAACACCTGTTATCTGTACGGTTCACTTGTGTTGCAGTACCATTGTAATCCACCAGGTGGTGCCCCTGTGTAAGAAAATGGTGAGATCGTTCCAGCGTCACACTATTCTTTTCGAAGAGGAGGAGGTCCTGTATGTTAGCATTAGACCTCAGATGTGTTAGAAATTAGGCTGAATGTTAGGAGAGCTCTTCTTGGACTCTAAATAATATTCATTAAATAATAAAAAATGTTTTGCAGCAATTTTGTTAGAACATGAGTGAAAACACCTGTGTGGGCAGACTGAGTTTGTGGCGTCTTTCAGTTTCTTTATAGTCTGGAACCGTAGGTGTTCAGTAGTTTCACAGCTCAAATATTTAGAACCACATGCTTGCCTGAAAAAAATTATCATATCTGCTAATTTCCTTTGGCATCCTGAGAAAGAAACATCTACTTTTCTCTCCCCGTGACACAGACGGTGGCAGCAGCATACAATTATCTCAGCTGGAATTACCTGTGATTTCAGAAATGACTTTTTGTCCTGCAAAGCTGCCAAGCTCATGAGTCATGTAGGATTTTTATACTCTGGAAACGATTGCTAGAATAATAGACAAACAGGTGTTACTAATGCTATTTGGCACAGAGTCTTAATTAATGTAATTATTAACGCTTGTGTTTATCTACTATTTTAGATCAAAAAGGCTACTATGCAAATGATTGCAAATGATTGTTTTAATTGGAGCTAAAATGTTTAGTTAGATCACTATTGAAACTTCTTCATGCCACTTGAAAAATAAATAAATAGATAAAATGTATTTATTTACCAGGCAGCCAAGTCAAAATTTCAGGATACTGACTTAAAATTTTGAGATGATCTGATTATTTATCCATTGGAACAGCCAGTGAACAGAAGATTAATTTCTATGCCAAGGCACGATCCGAAGAGGAAGTATTAAGTGTTCAATGCCATTTGTTTGCCATCACGATAACACAAAAAATACCAAGATGAACTTGGAGAGTTTAAATGATCAGTAAAAATGATTAAATCCCAAATGAATCCAGATTACTCTTTAAAAATAACAAAATAGCGTAACGACGTTAAGAGAATATGCTCATGTGTGCCCTTTTTCCTTCAACAAGCTTTTTATTTAGAGAAATGTTTGATATTTAAGCTGAAGTCTTGCATTTTGTTCCCATTACTGTACAAAAATGCACTTCAAGTGCTATTCTGCTGTGTTTTTTTGTTCTTTTTACACATTTTTGATTCAAATCACCAGTTGGAGCCTTAAGAGAAGTCTCTTATCTATACTTTCACTTTAATTTTTTAAATAAGTGTCCATAAAAATCACAAGGAAGAGGCGGGAGGCAACGATGTCACGATAATAAAAAATATCGGTTTTACTAGAGAAGGTTACAAAAATCATCACTATATAGGAGTCATAGAACTATTTCCAACTTAAAAAATAAAACCATAATGAAACACCTACAGGGACTACAATGCCATCAAAGTACAATGGAGTTTTCTTTAGAAAAGAGTGGGTGGAAGGGGAGGAAGGAAGGGGGCAAACACCGCCTACCATAGTTGTCATTACAATTGACTACACATCACCTGAAAAACTGCAAAGACACAGTCATGTCTCCTTCATGCAAATAACAAGGAAACAACAACACCCTGACACGCATCGTCTTATAGGAAATTGAAGTTTGCCTTTACATCGACCTGGCGGCAAAGCACGTATATTTATCAAACATAACACACATGGCAATATAGTCCTTTTTTATACAGAATAGACAGCTGCACACATGGACGATACTGACATGCTTCATCTCATCAAAGTTCAAAAAATTGTTTTTTTCAGTGTTTTTTGAGGGTGAACTAACCAGTAATGACTGATATAGAATATAGTTCATGATTATTAAACAATATCTGGTTATAAAATTAATGTCTGAAAATTCCTGACTTGTTTTATTCAGTGTAAACATCCAAAAACAGTCTCTGTGGCTCATTTGAGAGGCATGACGTATAAAAAAAGGAAATAAAATAGGAGAAATGAAGAAAAGAGTGACTCCCCCTCATGTCTCGAGTCACTCACTTGGTCGGCCGTCGAACAAAAATAAGCACAGACATGTTCCATAAAATAATTAGTACTAATTTACAAGAAGAACTCAGCTGCCTAAAACTGATAAAACATTAAAAATCAATTTCCACTATATTTTTTTTGTCACATTTTAAAATGTATACGTCACAAGCACCTCAATCCATCATATCATGTGACTGCACTTTATCCCTCTCACGACATATCATTTAAGATGTTACATTACAATTATTATATCAAATGCAGAACTAGTATCTGAGTGCTAAACACATATCTCAAAGGGTACATTTACATATATTTGTGGAAAACAAATTGCATGGCAAATCACTGATTGTGTTCTCATTGGTTTGGGAATGGAGCTATTTCATGTTTTTAGGGTCATTCGGCTATTTACAGGTGAACTTTCTCAAAAGAAGAAAAGAAAAGTTTTTACTGTATAATTCACACAGGACTGCAGTCTGGAGAAGAGTTTAACTGGTGATGTTTTAGGAAAAGTACACAACTGGTGGAAAATCAGACTTGGTTTAATACCTGAGGTGTGTGTCTGTTTTTTTAAGACCCGGACAGATTTATCTTTGATTTCTGCTGCGGCTGGTGGTGAGTGTAGCAAAACCCCATTTTGGTCTTCAAAAGAGCAGTTTCATATTCAGAAGTATGCTAATATGTTTTCTTGCCAAGAGCTAGATGAGTAGATCCATACCACCTTTGTCAGTAAATAAACATCAAGCACTAAAATGCGTAAGAAAGTACTAAAATGATGTACTTCTTTACTTGCACTTGCTGTTTTGAATGCATAACTGCATTAATACTAAAAAGTATGGCTACAGGAAGTGTGTAAGGCTGAACTTCTCACTTTTAATAATGGCCACCATCTTGTAGCGGAAAAATAACAGAAAAAGAGGAACCAGCAAACATTAGCCAAGAACTGGAAAAAGAAGGCCCTTCAATTAATTATTAGCCCAAAAGTGGTAACGGAGCACCCATCAAACAATTTTTAGCTATGAACTGGAAAAGGAGGGCTTTACAAACAATGTTTCAGCCAGCAGGCCCTACCAATGCTAGTTAGCTAGCTAGCTAGCTAACAGCAGCAGATATCTTTCTTCAGCTGATGGCATTAGTGTTTTTGTGTTTGTTTTTGGATTGATTTTTGCATTTTATATTACTTAATCATCTTCATTGTAGAGTGAATTAGGTTAATATTTGGTCGGCGTCTCAACAAAAAGGAATGTTCACAAAATATGTTAGCTAGCGCAACAATCGATCCAACGCTACAACTGTTGTTTCTGTAGGTGCATGACTTGCTGAAACAAATCAAAATTCATACACTACATGATTATGTACACTGTGTACTACACTGAAGTGAAACATCTTAAATCAGACTCAATACCAGTCTTTGTGTTTCCAGTCTTTATGCTAACTGTAGCGCTATGATGAAGCTTTTTACAAATCATACAGACAACTTTTAATCATTTCCTCTAATCCTTGACCTGAAAGCAAATGAGCGTATTCCTCGAAGCTTTTCCTTGCTTCAAAGGTTGCTACCTCTCCGGTCTTAAATAAACTGTGAGTGCCTTGATGAGTAAATAAACTCTTATCATGTAAATGCATAATAATCCTTGAGATACCACATGACTTGACATAATTTTAGGTATTTCTATGAGAGAAGGGATTGGAGTGGTTCATGTTTTTTAAGGGATTTTCATTGTCCCTTTTTTTTCTTTATTTAATAGTGCAACAACGAGCATTAGCAAAAGAAGTTAAAGATGGAAAGAAAAGTAAAGGAGAAAAACCTATGAGCGCAAAAACATAAAGAAGAAAAAAGATCATAATAGTATCTGGCATACTTTTCAGAGAGTATTAAAAAAAACAACAACATTCGTACACATTCGCACAATATATTCATATTCATATATATATGCATATAAAACACCAAAAAAACAGAGGAAGTTGATCACTGCCTGGCTTTTTATGGTCGATGCAGGCAGTGAACAATGTTTATCTTTTTTAGGCTGTTAGGAGCTGTGTGTCGAGAGGCTGTGTTGGCTCAGGGCGCGAGGCCATCACAGCCGGGCCACGTTCACGAGTCGCCGCCCAAAAGCACGAGGGAAGAGACGCTTCTGAACTGATGTACTGTACCTGAGCTCGACCCCGCGGGCGAGCTCTCCCATTCTGAAAGCATCCGCCTCCGTCTGGGCCTGCCACTTCTCCTGACTTTCTATTCTCTTCCCCTCAGAGGTGAGGACGTACCCACAACCCCTAATGAACACTGCAGAAGGGAAGAGGATGGAGAATCAGGAGGTTTTGGGACTATCAAACATGACCGAGGTGGTTTGTTTTAACGGAGGGAAAGGGTGGGTGTTAGTTGTTGCAAGGGGATGGGGGTTGTGGTGTGGAGAGAAGACGGATGGTGGTGTTGGGCTCTCTTGTCCTTATGAGTAGGAGGACGAGTTCTGGCCCTCCTTGGAGCGTGCCTCAGCCTCCAGATCCTGGTCATCCTTGGTCTTGATGTCCTGGTAATCATGCGTGGAGGCGGCGCTCTTCAGATAGGCCCAGTTGGCCCCCAAAATCATCAGGTAGTGGATCTGAAGAGATACAAGATTTTTTCTTCATGTTCAAGCACAGGAACTAACTCCATACTACTACTACTTCTATTATTAAATGCATTCAAAATGTGCTCAAAAACCTCTGCGTGCATGTTTTCGGTATGTCCTGTTACATCCTGTTTTACATCTGTGTGCCAAATCCCCAAGTGTCTGATCCCACACTACTGATATTTGCCCACTGAAGTTTAGCGATGTCTAAATGTAGAAAACATCCAAATATATTAATAGAAACCAACCTGAGAACAATGAAAATGTTCCAGAGCAACATTACTGTACAAGCCAGTTTTCCTCTGTGACTTTTTTCTAGCATGTCTTTCCACCTTTTGTAACACATCAAAGTACACAGAGCTTCCAGCTGACCCTGTGCCAACATCTGGAGTACTGCTTAATGCTTTTTTTGAGCATCTCCATCTCCCTGGACTCAAAACAAAAAAGCCCGCCTCCGCAGCAGAGTAAAACACTGACCCTTGGTGAGCCCATGCACAGAGGCGGGCTGCAGAAACCCATAGAAGGACATATGTGAGAGGCGGAGAGGTTGCCGTGGAAACAGATAATCATGCCATAGCAACATGCATATTTTGAGCGGCACACTACCGCATCGGTGGGATCATGAGGAGCTTACCAGTGCGATGACGGTGGCTCCGGCGCCGGCTAACGCAACGATGTAGAGGTGGTAGGACAAGTAGAACTGCGGGGAGAAAGAGAAGCTAGGTTAGTGAAGGGAGGAAAGGCGAGCGAGGGAATAAGGAAAAAAACAGAGGTCAGCATCCTCTCACCTCACTGGTGTTACAAATCTCTCCCAGCGTAGCTCCGCAAGCTTTTCCTGGCGTGGCATTATAGGGAATAACACCTGCGGGATCAGAGAGATGAAACGTCACAGGACTGAGACAAGAAGCTTTTTCCTCCCCAGAGACTGTGTGATATGATTGAAGGCATTATGCATTAGGCGCAGATAAAGATTAAAGGAAACAGGGCTGCTGCTGGAAAAATGTGGGTCATTGTGAATCCCTTTTTCCTTTCTTTCTTTTTACTGTAGAATCACTTTAGGGGATTGCTGCTATAGGCTGCTATTTGTAAAAAACAAACTGTGCGCAGTTGCTTGTTTTAGCTTCTAAAACCTTTCCTCAATCACTCATCAGCTGGAGCTCCAAAACTGCTGACAATAATTTGAGTAATTGGGGTTAATATTTCACACGCCGTGCTAGTGCAGCACCGCAGCCAATGAAGCATATGTGATCCTCATCCTACTTTGTAAGCGAGCCAGCTGTCTTTCAAATGTGGGTCACGTACTGTACGTTGGGCCATCAGACTGATGACCACATACGCAATCACAGGGCAGTGTTGCTGTGCTGTAACACTGCTTTGAGGTGGATTTTCATAGAGATCCAGTCACGCTCTCAATAATCTAAATGTATTCGTTTGACCTCTTCGTGCATAGACAATGACATTTAAAGTGGTTGGAGATGAATAGGTGGCGTTTATAAGGAGGGGAAAGCCTGAAAAAATGTTCCAGAGTTTTCCGCCTGCAGGTAACGCCTGTGTGGAAATGAGAGCGGCACCGGGATGTTTTTCCTATTTTGTTGCAGACTTTTTAAAGTTAGCCAGAATATTTCTTGATCAGGGGAATTTCTCCTGAACTTTAAAGACAAGTACCATGACAGATTTTATATTTTTTAAGACATCTTTTGAAGATGGTTTTAAAGCGAACTGAATAGCATGAAAGCAGGTTTCGTCATCTAAATCTTTGGTCTGGTCTGCACTGTGCAGCAATGCCACTATTCTATTACATTTTATACAGCACTTTAAAATATTTTGTACAGATTTTCACAACCTATGATTTTCAAGCGTTGCACATCTTCTTGGATGTTTCCATACATACTATACTGTACATAGTAAACAGATACAGTGTATACATGTATATTTTTCATTGTGAGGTTGGCCATTTGTCTCAGGAAGAACCACTGTGTATACATTGTCAATATGTGGTTTTACATTTGATTCGAAAAAAGAATAAAATAAGCCTAATAGGTTTAGCAGGAGGCAGTTTAGCTTTGTTATTCCTAATTTACATATAGCACATTTGAATAAACAAGCTCTCCTTCAGGCTGCATGTAGCCCTGCATACGAGCTAACATGAGCTAACATGAGCTAACATGAGCTAACATGAGCTAACATGAGCTAACATGAGTTTGGAGCAACAAGAAATCGTTGTTGAGTTACAAACGACACGTCATCTGCACATATTTTTTGCAAACTGTTTATAACCAAGTAATGGAGGCCCACCTGTCTGGCAGGTACTACTCCTGCACAAACTGTGATGAAAATGTGTCAGCTGTGATAACATAAGGTGGGCAGAACTAGGAGCTACAGGAAAAATATAAAGGGCAGACTGGCCTTGTTGGCTGGAGAAGGAGGCAAGAAACAATGCTAGGGAACTGCAAAGCCTTACAGCAATGACTATTAGAATAAAAACCAGGCTTTCAAAGATTTACTGGTGCTAAGTGATGGATTTATTTTGACAGGCTGCATCGTTTCAAAAACAACTATTAAATTGACAGATTTCCCATCGTCAGTATCTGAACATTTATTATTGTTCCAGTGCTAATTTATGTAAGATATTTTAGCCTCTCAATACTAATGTTTATCCTTTATAGGGAAAAACTATGATATTAGTACGGAAAGATACAAAATATCTCATAAAAGAGAATCATGAGCTAGCCTATACCTAGCTAGCCAACCTAGCTCAAATTGGCTAATGTCAGCCAATTTCACTTATAAAATCTACGTATGCCACACATGTACGGTTCATTCAATCACCGAAAGAATGCATCAGACATAAACTTAACTAATACAGTTCACGTCATTTCTAAGTTACTGACCGTACTGCCTGACATCCACACAGATGGAGTCAGGAGAGGTGATGTTAGCATAGGGAGATTTCATGGTAGCACAGGTATTCCACATGTTAAAGAAGAGGAAAACCGGGATCGCCGTGAAGCCGAAGATGGCAAGGAAGGCCAGGAAGAGGATGTAGGTCAGGAACATGAACTGAGGAGAGGAGACAAGTGGAAATAAAGAGAAAAAAATTGTGATTTTATAAAAAAGAATATTTTTTAAAGGCTGAGATTGTTTATACGGACACAAATCAGAGGCAAATCAGGGTTTACGCTAATGTTAGCCGACATCTGCAGCAATTAGAGTAATCAGGGTAGAAAGGACAAACAGTGCCAGAGTTACCCTGAAGGCTCAAGTGGGATTTTAAGCATTTGTGTATGTGCAAGTATTTGTTTATATCTGTCTTCGTCATGCGCATGTGCTCATAAACGTGTAAATGCGTGTGACTGGGTCTCTGAAATACTTTTAAGATGACCCTTATTCAGGCATGTAAAGCATACTGAAGGACCGTTTTCCATTTGTTGTTTTAAGCCACTAAACTACTTTAAGCAGGAACGTTTTAAAATACACATCAAAGTCATTAAGTCTCATTTGGAGGCTTTAATTTGAAGTGTAACTGGGTCAGTGGGTGTGATGATTTGCAGCTGCTTATGTGTGCGTGTATTTGTGTGTTCACATACGAAGGCGGTGATGCAGCGTCCACAGACGGTGGTCTTGAAGTCACTCTGCAGCTCCTTCTTGATGGCGCTGGTGGTGTAAAAGCCCTCAGCCAACAGGACGATGGCGTAGACAAAGAAGAAGGAGCCAATGCCATAGATGATGTACTGAAAAATCTGAATCCTGAACAAAAACAGAGGCAAAGCAAGGAATTAGCTTTAAACATCAAGGTTATATGAACCTGCACCAATTAAACCCTAAGCTAATGTTTTATGCTGGTTAATGTTAGCTCGTGCAAGCTAAAACCCTTTTTATTTTATGTTTCATTTAACTACTTTTACCTTTTTTTAAAGAGATAAAGATCAAGATTATATTGTATTATATTGACTATCGTTGGGTAACCTTAGATAATGGTACCATTAGCTCATGGTGGTTAATCTTAGCTAATGTTAGATGCAGTTTTTGTGGCTAAAGTTGGTTAACGTTAGACGTTCGTGATAAGTAATTTAAATTTTACTTAAAATGTAGCATTTTAGGACAAAGGGATGTGATACAGAGCTGGATTAACTGGTCAGGAAGCTTTGTCGTGCTTAAAATTTTCTATCAGTCTGTCTTTTTCCTGACTAAATCATTGTAATAACTCAGGTTATGTTCTGAGTTTCAGTTTAAAATAGATTCAGATCACACAGTTTCACTGATTCTACTATCCACAACATGTTTTAAGTATAATATAAATTCTCTACTGTAGGATATGTGCAGCTTCAGAATAAAGCTGAAGTGTAATGTTACAGCATTACAGCAACGGCATTTGAATGCAGCTGGTGATGCAGACAATATATATATGTTTTAATACTTGGTTCTAATCTCTTGCTAAGTCTTTTCTCCACTGCTGGAACTGAAGCTAGAATATTAGATTAAAAAACGGATTAGGGTATTTATTTTCAAAAACACCTATTCAGGCAACTTAGAGAGATTTCTTTTGTTAGACTACGGGACAGTTTAATGTTTATATTTAAAGTTTCACAGCTCTAACGTGCAGCCATCACGTAAGAAGGAAACAGCAGCGTTAAAATACATGAACTTAAGTTAAAATGTTTATTTTAACACTCTGCACTAAATCCCAAGATTACGATAGATAAAGATCGAAATATGAATTTGTCTTTCTTTCTTTTTTATGTTCCTTATAAATGTTAATCACCACTTTATCATCTCTGAGTGGACTAGACAGAACTCATAGGGATGACTTTGTCAGCACGAAGAGTCAGATGACACATGAAACACCCCTCTTATGTGTACAAGTAGAGAACATGAAGCAGAAACGATGGCTTAACAGATGTTGATAACCATCGTACTGGAATCTGTTTTCTCTGACTAGGGTTTTGAACTTTATGATGATATGTAGACTATAGTGAAAGCTAATCAAAGACAGTTTTATCCACTAACTTATGGTTTATGAGAGCTTTTGTTATATATCGGATTATTTTTTTAACATGTTTAAACCAAAATACTAGGGGGATTTGTTAGAGGTTTCTTTTGTGGGGCACATTGATGAGAGTTGTTCGCCATATTGGACAAAATACAACCGCTGGTTGCTGGGGAAAGGTTTGCATTCTCTGACTAGCTGCTGTTTGATTATCGGAGGCTGTAATTGGGAGAAATCCATCACAAAGAGTGTGCTGCACCAAAAAACCTCCTTGTTGCTACAGATTACTGCAACTGCATGTAGTTTGCATGAAAGACGGTGGCTGTTATGGCCCTCTGCAACCCCTACTCAACTCAACTTGTGGCAGTGCAAGATTCTCTGGGTGTTTCCAAGGCATAAATGTCTATTATCTACACCTGACAAGGTGTGAATAAAAACTTGCCTGAGGTTGGCTTAGTGTAGATGCCACTTTTTGTCTTCATGCTATTTGGGCTGTTAATTTTACTGAGATGAGTCAATATTTAAAAAAAAACAAACAAAATATAGTCTCCTCTTTAAGTTGCTGCTTTTGAGCTGGGTCACTTGTCTTCAAACAATTGCCAACTAGTAGTCGAGTGGTAGTGAAGCTTCAAAGAAATGCGATGCCAATCAGAAAGCGAGACTTCGCACTCCAAGCTGAAGCCAACACATTACAAAAGGCCCAACTTTTACTTTGAAAAGAATGGTCTGCCTTTTTGCTTTGTGTCATAGGCTTTACAGTTTCATGATCACTCAGTGAATTAGTTGGCAAGTGTTTGCAGACGGGTCATTTTCAACATAAACTCTGGGTGATCACAGCTAAAGGTAATCACGAGGAGGTTTTTGGTTTTTGCACCTCTTTGTGACCAATTTCACCTCGTGGCTGCGAGCAACCTGTAGCAAATATTTATGCAATTAACTTTTTCTTCTTCTTTCTTTGCTTAACCTGGTTTACAAATCCAAAATAGTTTATGTCATGTGGTCATATAACTGCAAAACCTGAATAAATGAAAACAGAACTATACGGTCCATCGACTCATTTTCTTTGCTGATTATCCAGGTCAGCGTTGTGGGCCTAACTTAAGTTAGATAAAGATTTCTGAATACCTGACATTACAGAGTGTATAAACACCCCAAGATCTTAGTTTTCATTTATATTTATGTCAGGATCCATTTTTAAAATAATCACTGAAAAATATATTTCAGTCCTGTGGGAGAAGATTAGGGCCAAAAAAGGGGGTTGGGGCTGGATTTTTGTTTTCCAGATTTTAATCTCAGATCCCTTTTTTCCCTTTCAGTGGCCCTAATCCTCTTCCATACATTTCTAACCTTGACCTTTTAAGTAATAATTTTCTGACTGTTTCTAATATTCCCAGTTTACCAGTTTATGGCACACAATGTGGCGGGTTCAGCAGATGCAATCATTGCAAGCATAATATCAGTAAATTCTGGTCATACCAGTTTTTAAGTAAAAGAAGGGGAGTGAGTGAAATACAGTGACAGGACTTATCCGTGTCTAATCTTTTCCATAAGTGACATGTGATAAAATCATAAGTAAGAGAACGCCTTAGTGATGAACTACACTTGGATTAGAAACTCAGTGGACTTACACCACAGTGAGGGTGGCGTGGTCGCTAGATACCCTGGAGAAGTGATTCTCCAGCATGGTCAGAGTCCCAGTCAGCGCTACGTGGCCACATCCGCAGAACAGAGCCACACCTATGAAGCAGAGGATGGTGGCCACCAGCGAGGCATAGGGCACCCCGCCCAGACACTTGATGCAGCACTCGAAGCATCCTATAGGGGGAGACAAAGAGAGCCTGATCCATAGGTGTTCTTTTGCATTTAGCTGCTAGAAAGCTTCAAAGACAGAAAGCTTTAAGGAAGGATACAAGAGCAAACAGGTCAGATTTGAAAGCACACACATGGCAAAATTGCAATTCAAATGTATGATTTTAACGATAGCAACGAGAGCTGACTGTGGCAACGTGACATCTCACATAGAGACTTGTTCGCCTCTGCTGATGACACTCAGCGCAACACTCGACGGGCCTTTTTGTCCACCGCTCTTTGATTTTTACTCAGGCAGAAACCTGCATGGATGTTTGCACTGCTGGGGCTGAATCAAGCGTGCACGCTTCAAGGGCTTTATGCTCATCTTTCAGAGCAGAACACCTCTTCATGTCGGGCATGTCGAGCGGCTAATCATGGCATCATTCGCAGTAAGAGTGTGTTCACTTTAAGCTCAGTCGGGTGTGCTGAATATTACATGTAAGCTGTGCTACTGTACATGCTGTACATGCTCAAATCTGAAAACTACTCAGTTTTTTTCTTTGTTATGACCAACTTGCAAGATTAACTCATGACCTAATCTACATGAGTTTAAAATAAATTCCTATGAGCTACGTTATTTTTGTAGACCACAATGATTACAACACATTTGGAGTTCTTACGCTTTAAGTATTTGGGATTTCTATGCAACAAAAAATTGACAAATCGGACGTTTTCTTAGGGGAGGCGGAAAACGACTGAGATTTTTCTGTGCCCGTGTGCATATTTTCCAGCTTTCTGCAGCTGATTTTGCCTTTTTCAGAAGTCAAAAGAGAGTGGTGAATAATTTAAAATTATCCCTTGTGCACGAGCAGTTTCCACACAGTGATGATGATGAATTAGTAAATTTGTTTTCCATTAACCACAGCAGTGTATGAGGCTTCCTGCATGAGTTATGGGCTTGGGAGATACAGGTGCTGCAAACACTGTGCATCCTGCTGCCTCTGCTCCCTCTCACAATCAAGAGGATAAGGACTGATGATGAAGAGGGCAAATAAAACTCTGTGTTGAGCTCGAGAGTTCGAATCTTAATAACTCCTCGAATAAACCATGAAGTTACTCAGGAAAAAAGACAAAATGAAATGTCTTGTGCGTGCCACTTTGCTGTTTCCATGACAACCCGCTCCAACCGGAAGCTTTGAAGCATCATAATTTTATTTTCAGAAGTTTGTTCAATTCAGACAATTCTGTATGTGAAACCTTGGAAATGTGATTTATCACATTATGCGTGTTTCAGATCCTGCACATGAAGGTCTGCAGAGATCGGACGATCTATAGCTGACAGCCTCTGCTACTAAAGTTGATAGCGAGCATTAGAGAATAACACCCTTCATGCTAGTCACAGCTCTTTAATGCATCTGACAGTTGATTCTATCAGAACATGAAATTCACTTCAACATCCACACAAGCCGGCGCTAAGACTCTCTGACAGCTTCTATCAACGTCAAGCTCAATCAATAGACTCTGACAGGTGATGACACGAGGTGATATTCTCCCACACAAAGCAATTAAACCGCACACTTGAATGCGTGCATACGCAGAAACACACAAGGCCATCTCAAGGTTGGCTGGAAGGGAAGAAAATTTCACCAAAATGCAACAAGAGTGTCATTTTATAGTGAAAAAACCTTCTCTGCCACTACACGGTTGAGAGCATGGTAGGGTTGTAAGCTTGTGGACTCGTTATTGATGAGCTTAAAGGAGCAGATTGGATTTCAGCCTCCCCGGGGGAAAGAATCATCAATAAAATTACTGCTGGGAGAAAATATACTCCACCATGCTGAAGCTAAATGTGGCGATTATTACCTTTTAAATGTAGTTATCACATTATATGCTCCCATTTAATTAAACCACTTATATAATAAGCTAATTAACTTATAAATAACTTGACAAAGTAAAAACAACAATAGCACTTTGCTTCCTGAAATAGACCAGGGATTAGCCTTGACTTCCACGACCTGAATACTATAAATTGTGTTTTATTCATCCATGCTAGTGGTGCAGCCAGATGGTAATGCTTATCTTTTGGATATTAATTTGTTCCAGACTTAAATTATTTAAGAACAGAGTGGATGATGCTAACCGATGTGACATATTCTGATGACTACTGGTGATCCCTTATATGCTTTCTTCACACCAAATCTTACTTGATTAATGCTTTAGTTGATAACCAAATGCCTTCAAAGCTAACATTTTAGCTTCCTCAGATTTCTTCAGAGTTTAGTTCTAAACCAAAACCAAAAGTTGACCTGCTTACACACTACACTGTGACTACTGTAAATGTTATAATTTCAACCAGCCAGGCTTCAGTATGTTAGCGTAGTTTGCTGTTGTTAGTATTGATTATTAGCAAAGATTAGCGTGTTAGCATGCTAATCTTTGCTAAACACGCTAAACCACTAGGGAAAAAGTATTCCTGCTGAACACGGGATTGTCACTATAGCACATTGACATGAGGATTTGTGTTTTCAGCTGATAAAGCAAACTTTCACTACCAGAAACATGATTTGTTCTATGCACAAGTATAAAAATGTGCACTTCCTGTCACTGTTACAGTTTAAAAGGAATTTTTCTTCTTGCGGAATTTAGAGTAAAATCTTAACTGTAGAAATTAATAAAGGAAAGGCTTGCAAGCATCATTTTTAATGTTAACTGTTACATATCTCTCTGTTATTGAAGGGTTATTGAAGCACCTTTAGGCAACTGTTTTTATGATATAAATAAAATTAAATTGAATTTAATTACATATCCTTACATATACGTAATGACAAAAGATGTTTAGTGTGACTTTTATTCCACCCCTTGAATAATTATAAAAAAGATTATATACATACATATATTTTCACAATTTCATAAACAGCATTACTTTACAAAGCTTACACACATTTTTAAACAACTTCTGAAATAGATTTTATGCACAGCAGTCACACAGTTTTTTGTTTTTCACTGATCTAAAAAGAAATGTTCACTCTGGCCGATGCCCATGTCCCTCTTTAAAAGCTGAGACTCTACATCTGCGTGAACATAACTGAACCATAAGTCTAAGATGCAACTGCTCCCCTCCAAAGAGTGTTGCTGTTGATGAAGACTCTACGTTGCATAACGCAGCGGAGCCTCGTTGCGTAATAGATCCAAATCCTATTAATGTTAATGAAGAAAACGGGCTGATGGAGAAGTGCAGCTGATAAGGCTGGATGGCTCTAAACTCCTGAGCCCAGAAGCAGGCCAGGCCTCAGGGGGCCTGCAATGGAGTCAGTGGTCGATACAATGACAACCAGGAGGTTTAAAAGCTGCTCTCGACTGACACTTCATCCTGCTATAAAATGTCTGTGTCAACAGCCAATTTAGTGTGCAAGTCTTCTGACCTTTCTTTCTTTTTCTTTAATTTGGAAAAGAGAATAAAACCAAAAGAGATGTGATAACCCTGCTTTTCAAATGCAAATCAAGAACTTCCGGGAGATATTATCGTCCAGGTCTATTCATGGATGTGACCGAGGAGACTTTGTTCATTTAAGGCAAATCCTGAGATTGCGTGATTGGATTTTAAGGCTTATATTCTGCTGTTAACTCTGTATTTTCCTTGGCTCCATGCAGCTTCATGGATGAATTCATAGGTTTCTTTAAACACTGGTCAGGCCGCTTCTTCCGGTCTGCCTCTGGCTATGACTGTTTGTCAGCCTCAGTTTAAAACTGCGCTAATGGGAAACAGACAGGCCAGAGTGGTCAGCTCTAGCCAGCCCTAATGGAAATCAATGGGCTATTCATTAGAGTAGAATTTAGGTGAAACACCGAGGCTGGCCCATCTCTCTTGTTTTATAGCTCGCTGCATCTATCTCTGCTCTTCGACTGAAATATGACTGCACGCCCATGCAGCACTTACAGTGAGCCAGCTGGAGTTAATCGCTGAGACAATATGTTACGCTCCCGCTACGATGCTGCATCATATATCACCTCAACAATCTCACACCAAGGACGACGCATCAGGTTGTGGGGACATTTCACGGGCTGTCTGTGAAGGTGCCCCACCAATAAGAACAAAAGACTTTCTGCTAATATTGTCAAACAACAGAGCAGCAAATAATATGACAGGCAAAGCTGCAACTGAGGATTAACATCCCCCTACTGTTAAAAAGCTTGTTTTCCTTCCAAATGAGCTGCTTCGGCCTACAGTGCAAAACTATACATTTGTGGCTGCTGGTAAGAGTTAAGAGAAAGGATGATAACAGACGCCTGCTCTTTTTGCTTTCTGCACAGAGCGAAGGCTAAAGACACAGGGATAGAATAAAAGAGTTGAAGGCAGCATAAAGTCAGGAGTTTCAGGAAAAAAAAGGAAAAGGGTGAATGGAGATGAAGTGCGGGGACAAGATGGATAAAAGCAAGCAGAGGAACAAAGGGATGAGAGAAGGAGGTGAAGAAAGGGAACGCGAGTGAGAAACAACAGAGAGAAGAATGAGAAAGAGTAAGTGAAAAGCAGTTCTTGGCCCCAGGGCCGCAAATGGCAGTTGCCATAGCAACGTGTTACCCGCGACCCAGTTCAGCGGCAGCGTAGTCCTTAGCAGCCGCTGCGCTCTTCTCACACGTACACTCAGAGTGATGTAGCCTGAATCAAAACCCAGAGATCGGTGCTTTAATGGAAGTCAAAACAAAAATAGCAACCAGCTGCAGGACGTTAAAGCAACTGAAGCTATAACACAGGAAATACGGAGGGAGGGCAATCTGGTTTACTCTAAAGTCACTTTTTGGGAACTGGGTCAAACAGAAATTGCAGTATTGGGCAAGTAAGAATAGTATACTGTTAGTACATGCCACAAAAAGTCACACAGACTGCTGATGTGGAAGTATCGTGCCCCACTCACACATGTTATAACTTATAACTATTATAACTACTGACCATGATAAGCTTTCATGGTCTGAAGTTACACCTTTCATTAAGTGATGCAGGAAATTCAGCTAACAGATGCTTCACC